CTCTCTCTCTCTCTCTCTCTCTCTCTCTCTCTCTCTCTTTCATTCATCTTGCGCGCGTATGAGAATACATTTATAGAGTCTAGAGCGTATATGTATAGGATAACTATCCCTATGACTATGTCTACCCTTATTAATGTGTCTTTGTATTTAAATAAGTCATAAAGAAAAGTAGTACAAATAAGTAAAAAAAAGTATTTCTTTTATTAAGTTAATTTATTATTGTACACGATACCAAAGATATCGATAAATAATATTCTATTTTTTAACTATTAAAATATAGTATTATAAATATTTTTTTCGATAAAGAATTTATGTGAGTCCAGTAATATAGCAAGATTTTAAGTTTGTCTCTATTAGTGCCCTGTATTGAGAGCGTTTTATTATGAGTAAACATTAAAATTGTAAGTATTATACAATTAAAATAATAATTTATGCAATATTAACTTACATAATTAAATTACATCTATTATCTGTTTTAGTAATTATATGTTAAAATACAGATAGGCATACAAATTGAGGACGCGTTAATAGGGTTATGGAAGGCACACTAATAGGGACAAAAATATCTTGTTTGTTTTTAATAAAAAATATAAGATATTAACATTTTTTTTTATTAAAAAGAATATTATAAGAGAATGAAATATTGACGAACTGATATCTATTGATTTCAAGCAGATAAAATTGAAGCTATAATGTTTAATAATTAATTTAGTAATGAGCAAGTTGACTTAAAGGCACACTAATAGGGACAGTTACCCTAATTGTAGATTTTATCGTACGCCGCGACGATGCGTAAATGGACGTGTACACTTATTATATGCATATTGGTATCGCTTTATTTTATGCGAATTAGGAAGTAGTAGATAGGGTGAAACCGATCTCTCCTAACGTTTACATGATTAGGAAGCAACGTGGAAAAAGGAAAGAAAGGGGAGAAGAAAGAAAAGGAAAATAAACGTTCGTCATTATTATCGCGCAACTGCGATCGATGTGATCAGAGCGACGACGAGGATCGTCCATTGGACTGCAACACTTGCGGATCCTGGAACATGAAAGACGAACTTTCGTTAGCTTCTCTTTCCATTATTTTTTTTTCTAGAAGATCACTAATTGCCTTTGTTCACGAGAATAAAAATATCCCAATTCGGGGGAAGCTTTGACATCGAAATTCTCTTTTGACATTGAAAAATTGGATAACATAAATTTTTTTAAAAAATATTAAAAATTGAAAAATACGATATATATGTTTATGTAAGACGTTTGAAAATCAGGATTCGCAGATGAAGAGGAAGAAAGATAAGAATAAGGATTTAAGCGTAAGATAAGTAGAATGATATGAAAAAAATTAATTATTAGGAGAGGTACAGATGGATACGAGAATAAAAAACAATAATGGGCGAGTTCAAGATGACAAAGCAGCTAGGTACGCTTGCCGAGCGATTGAACATTTGGATCTATAAGTAATAACTAATTATGATTATTTACTCGGCGTGCAGGCTGGCCGCTTTGTCAACTTGAACGTGCCCAATGTTAGAGTATACTAGCTTATACGAAAACTGTAATACTTGGGTATTTAAATGTGATGTTAACATAAATTAGTGTAAGTGTCTGATCAGCAGAAAATCTGTGACAAAAAACTGTAAGTTTAGATAATAGTAATAAGATTTAGTTAGCAGTTTTAATTAGCTATTAATTATCATAATTAATGCCTTAAAGTATTGCCATAATTTTACCATAAGGTATTATATATGTACAAAATTAAGAAAAGAAATTATAAACCAAACCTCCTCATGACATATAAGTCAAAGTAGCAAATATTCTCCTTTATTATAAGTTAGTAGTTTTTAACATATAATACAATATCGTGAGGGGAACGTTTCAATTTTACTTAGTCTTTATCAATCCCCCATATATAGAAATAATAATTTATATGACTTAATTATTATTTCTATATATAGGGTTGTGATAAAGACATAAGTAAAGTTCCTCTCACGATATTGTATGTTAAAAACTACTAACTTATAATAACGTAGTTTTAAATTATTGGGAGTACAAATTAGTTCGATCCGTTTTTGTGTTCAAAATGCATTTGTTTCAAAACAAAATGAATGAACAGATTAATTAAAGTATTGTCCATCGCTGGCTACTACTTTTTCCCATCTCTCAGGCAATTTTCGAATTCCATCTCGAAAAAATGACTCGTCTTTGAAGGCGATCCAATTTTGGAGCCAATTTTCGATTTCTGCGAAAGAAGTGAACCGGTGACTTGCCAAATCGTGCTGCATCCTTCGGAACAACCAGAAGGAGTAATGTCCGAAGAATACGGCGGGTGCGGTAAAACATCCCATTTGAGCGTTTTTAAATATTTTTTTTATGACTTTTGCGACATGAGGCCGAATGTTGTTATGAAGAAAAATAACTTTATCATGTCTTTGCTCGTATTCCGGCCGTTTTTCTCGCAATGCACGGCTCAAACGAATCAATTGTAGTCGATACCGATCGCCCGTAATAGAATCGCCAGGTTTCAGCAGCTCATAATAAACAATACCCTTTTGGTCCCACCAGATACAGAGCATGATCTTCGAACCATGAATGTTCGTCTTTGGTGTTGATGTTGAGGTCGATGGCAACGATTGACCGGGCTTAGTGTAGTATTTTTTCTTCTTGGGGTTGTCGTAGAATATCCACTTCTCATCTCCAGTCACAATCCGATGCAAAAACCTTTTCTTTGTTGCCTTTGAATCAGCTGCTCGCAAGTGAAAAATCGCCTTTCAACGTCTCTCGATTTCAATTCATAAGGCACCCAATTTCCTTGTTTTTGAATCATTCCCATCTCATGGCTCTCAATCGTACAGAATTTTGAGGCTTGTTGAGTTACTCCCAATGATTCTGCAAACTCCTCTTGCGTTTGACTCTGATTTTCTTCGAGTAATGCCTCTAATTCTTTGTCTTCGAATGTTTTTGGCTGTCCAGAGCGAGGCTTGTCTTCAACGCTGAAATCTCCATCCTTGAAACCATTCCTTACATGATTTATCAGTTGAAGCAGTGTCACCATAAACTTCGACGAGCATTCGATGGGCTTCAGCTGCACTTTTCTTCCAATTAAAGCAGAAAATTAAAACCTCCCGCAAATACTGTTTGGTTAACACAAAATTCGATATTTCAAACACAGTAAAAATCAAGGTTTTTGTATGAAACTCAAAGCGATATAAACTGAATATTATTAGCAAATGTCTAACCTCTCTGAAACCGTCAAAATCAGCTATCACTATGAACCATTCACAATAGCCGGAGGCATCTTTTGGAAAATGGACCGAACTAATTTGTACTCCCAATATAATCTAGTATTATACTCTCAATTAACTTATCTACATTCTATTATTGTTTATAGCAAATTAGAGCCAGTAATTGTTATTTAGTAAAGATTTTAATCTATTCTAGAGATACGCAGTTAGAATATAGTTATTGATGCAATAGCGTAAGACTAAATCTCTACTCGCGGAGGATTGTAGCGAATTTGCGATGTGTATCCTTTAAACGGCTAATTTGGACACCAAACTATATCCCACGTATTCATTTCGCGGAGCCTGAGTCTCGTTCTTATCGTAATTTAATTCGGAATTTGAATACAGTGAGGCTGTAATTAATCAGTTTTTATTACGAGACCCAGACAATAGCACTATGGTAGATTAAAGCATCGAGTAATTAGTTCCCGTTGTGATTAATATCGCATGTATGGCCATAAGGATTCGTTTCAATACTTAGGACTTTAATCCGATACTTCTCATTATTTGCGATCGGGTTTTTTGATGCCCAAAAATTCCCCTTACTATCTAATATTACAGGAATTCCGTCGTGTTTTAAAATTCCATTTATATACTACAAAATAAATAACCTTCCGTCAGTCAAGTTAGACTTTGAAGACGTAATTGATATTTTAATCGTAAACTTTAATAAATGAAGAACTTTGCTTATTTTATTAGATTTGAGCCGTCCACGTGTAGAGATAACAAGTTGTACATCTTAAACATAAAGAGTAGATTAAAACTAAAAATACTAATAGCTAAAATAACTGCAGTGTTAGAACTTCATCAATGTAATGTGTGACGTACATTAATTTTAACTTTTATGTCAGGGATTGCAAATAGTAATAAATTCGCTATCGAAGAACATGCGTTGAAAATACGTATATTTAGGCAAATGATTTAGATTGCGAAATATTATCAGCAAGAAGCAAAAAAGTCTTTTAATATAATAGATTAATCATTACACACGTGTGTGCGTAACTGCACGGAGAAAATTTTATATTTAAAATTCCTATAATGTGGTAGAAACTGCGGACCATCGTGTAATTATAAGTTTAAATGCTATAATAATTTTTTCCTCACGCGTGCACGTAATGTGCCCTATACCGCAACGCTTTTGCGTGCGGTAAATAGCCAATACCTCAAGCCGTTGAGTGTTGAGTGATGAAAATAACGCAACGTAGTGGCGATAGCGCTCGTACAAATATCAACACGGAGAAACGCGCGCGACCGAAGCGTCCTTTCGGGGCATCTTGGGGGGGGGGGGGGG